AGAGCGCCGAATCCTAACCACTAGACCACCAGGGAAACACACAACGCCACACAGCGCTTTGGTGTGGCTGTGCTGAGAACTCTCATGAATGCCATGGTTCCCAGCCAGAGTGCAATTCTCCAGCATGCACAAAAACGAAACCCAATCAGCCAGCTCCAACACTGATAGCAATGCCCCTGTGAACTGCTTTTCTAGAAATAACAGCACATTAAATCCATTTTTAAGTCCTTCGTTGAAGGAAAAGCAAAAGCTCTAATAAGAGATCCAAGGCTACAACCTTGAAATTACTAGTTTTCACACTGGAATAATTTGAGTTTGGATGATTTGCACTTCAAAATGTGCTTGCACACCCTTCATTTTTAAAGATACCAAGTTTTAAATACTGTCAGCCCTTAGTGCCAGATTCCAACTGTATTCCTGTAAGCAACCTACCCTCCAGCAGAGATTGCTTTGATTGATCTGCTACAGCCTTATCATCCAGAGGAAAGCTGAAGTCTCAATTTGGAACCACCTCTGCCATTAGCATTTTAATTACTTTGTCTGAAAGGAAACAAACAGCCCCAACCATTACTGTTGCACAGGTACCTAAAATCAATTTATGTATGTGCACAAAAATTTGCCATCTTTTCCAGGGTTGCACTAAAATGAGAGGAATATTCTTGGAGTCTATGGAAGAATGGTTCTGAATGGGTCTTTGGAAGAATGGGTCTGAACCTGACTTATGTTTCAATACAAGTGAAGACGCCTGGCTATTTAATATTTGAGTATTATGATGCCATATGTTATCAGATAAAGAAGTTCAAATTTGGTTCTTTAATCAAGGGAAATGCTAAACAGGTGAAAACTCCATACATTCTAAAACTTACCCCAGTTGTGCATGGAAGCCCTAAAAATCAGGATTTAGCCCTATATCATTTTCACTGAGTGGAAGATTTTTAAAGACCTCAAGAGTTCTACAAACTGCCTGAGATTTTAGGTGGTTTTTTTTTTTTTGTACTAAATTAGCACTATAGTTTAGACATACTCGATTTTCTTAAAAGTAAAACTTCAAACTTTTGCAAACGTAAGACATATTTTAAGCCAAATCCATTTCCAAATTCTTCTCTGAAAGACGTTCAAATGAATGAATTTTTATCATTCCAATGACAAATACAAAAACCTGCTTTTCTCTTATGGGCATAATATAGGTATGATAACTATTTCTCTTTCTGAGGATCCAAAATAACTTTTTATATATTATGTCCATTCCTCTAGCTGTGATTCAAAGGATGGGAATGTTTACTAGACAGTGTCTGTAACAAGGTTATCACAGGAAATTTTAGCCTCATGAATGCCAACAAACTTAAGGCAGACACAGATGTGACATAAATCTGATGGAAAACTGCAGAAAAACTCTATAAAAATTACATCCCTGAAAACCACTTGAGGAACATCCATTGCCACTTGTATGTGTAAGTAAAAAAACTTAATTCACTTTTTTCTTAATTCAGAAAGTCCTCTGTGATTACTTAGAAAGAAATTTATGGGTATATAATTCTGTTTCTCCAACCACTCCCTAGAATGGAATTTACATTTTTAATGGTTTAATTGAAAGAATGGACAGCACCCCCAGAATTCATTTCAGTCACACCTAAAATAAATCTGCCAACTGAACAATGAAAAGGAAAAAAAGCCTGCTATGGCAGAAAAGCAAAATTCTTCACATTGGTCAATCCCAACTTTCCAGGACAAAGTAATACAAATCCTACTGTATGCCAAGAAAGTTTAGATAATATACTCCTACATTAAGAAAATTACAAGTCACTTAAATTTTACATATAACAATAGTACTACTTCTGAAGACTCAGGTCTGGAGAGCAGATACTTTGCTTAAAGGATGAAAAGTGATGAGGGAAGACTAGGGTTGCAAGAGGCCTTATCAGAAAAGATAAATCCAACCTTCAAATTTAAGGTACTTATTTTTACCAACACCAGTAGGGGTTATTTCCACATAAATCTTAAGTCTTTAGAAGTATGAGGTAGCAAAAAGAAAAACAAGCCTGCACTTTGAATTTCTGATATATTCTTACATTTATAAATATCAAAGTAACAAAGTAATGAAATGTAACAGTTGTTAAAATACAGTGCCTGAAAGTCATCTTGAAAAACTTTTTAAGATGATTTGCCACTTACACTGCACTAAAAGGTAGATTTAGTCCACATGACTTAAAATTCATTCTGTAGCCTGAGACTTGGAGTGTACTGAGGGGAAAGCCCTACACAAAAAGCAAACATACAAAATAAAACCCAGCAGTAAAAGTTCTGAGTATCAAGACGGGTTTAACAAGAATTTTTCTCTTTCATTATTATAACCAAATTAGTTTTCCTTGAGCAGAAAAAACTTCCCTGTAAGGGCACTTGAGCATGAAGCACTGCACAGATGGACAGCAGGAGATCACACCACACACGAGGATATCGGGCCCTGCACACACAAACCACACCTCAAATACCTGAACGTGGGCAGGAAGGCACTGTGAACTTTACACTTCAGGACTCACAGAAAGTGTGTTTCCATCATACCACAAGCCTTTTCCCACCTGGTGTTTCAAGCTTTTCTGGAAGCTGGGTTTTCAGTGTAATCCAGCCAAGCCCTCAGAGAGATGCTACGCTTAGGTATCTGTCTCAGCAGTGTCGTAAAGATTTGGGGAGTTATTCCCTTAAGATTGCAATCCAATTGTTCCTCTGGAGCAGAAATATGCCTCAAAGCATAACTGCATTTTGGCATCTCTAAATCTGCATGGTTGTCATCAGCCTGACACCACAGAAGCAGCTAACAGTACCCAGACAGCAGATATTCTTCACCAAGCTCTGTGTCACTTGGAAAGAAATGTGAAGGAGCTAGCCCAACAGCCCATGGTTGTTTTCAAAGACATGCAGAAAACAGTAAAAGAGCTCCTTATCAGTTGCAAAAGGACTAAAACTGCACTGGAAGTTCTAGTGAGGCACAGTCTGATCACTGTGCTTCCAAATCCAGTTTCTGTGTGAACACAACAGAAGCAAATGTGTCATCTGGTATGCTCAGTTTTCAACCATTCCAGGTAGAATCAAGCTGGTAGGAAGCCTTAAACTTAATTATAACAATGGTCAGAGAAAGATTTGGATGAAAACAAATCCAAAGGCAACAGACCCTATTTTAATGCCAATTGTCTCAATCTGGTGTGCACATGACCCATCCACCCCCTCAGTAAATCACCATCTCAGCTTCAATGTCCCAGACTAACAGCAGGAAGTGTTACTGGTGGAATAATTCACACAGACACACTGAGGCACAGAGCACATAAACTTATCTCCTGTATTTAATTGTCTTCCTTTCAAAATATGCTTAAGAATCTCTTTAAGAGGCTCTGAAAAAGGGCTCTGGGATTATCTACCCTTCACTGAGCTTCCAAGCGTCACCTGTTCGAATGCTACTGTGATTTTCTTCTTCCAGATCCTACCAGCATGAGCACTACTGCACTCAACAGACACTGTCTGCCCTGCAGTCTGTGTTTGAGGATGGTCAGCAGTCTGCTTCCAGTATTAGGGAGTGAGAAACTGATAGGCCCTGAAGGAAAAACAAGGAAGTAATTACAACATTTGCATCAACATTTACTTTAGACAGTCAAGAAATGGATGTGGAGGCACTCAGATCATGGTCATATATTCAAAAAATATATGTGGAAGAGCAAAATCTGAAGAACAGAAGGGCAAAGAACCAGGAAGTGCTGAGAACAAAACTGAAACAGGTGTTCAAGCACTGTGACAAACACTACCCGAAGTTCCACTAAAATGCTGCAGTAAGGTGGCTACAGAGGTGTTCACAGTATGCAATTGATAGGCAACAAGAATTGCTAAGACAGGAAAGAAAAACTGCTTATGAAATAAACTAGAGTCTACTGACAGGAACCAAAGCTGCAGGCAGAGCTCATAATGACAATATCCCAGCACAGAACCGCTGAGGTATCAAGAGGACACAATCAACCCTGTTACACAAACCAGAAGTCTCAAAACTCCTAAAATATTTAAAGACCAGATTTACAGAAAGTGGTTCAGACGCCTGATATTCAGAGAGATTTTCAGGAATACTTCAACACCTAACTCCATTTACAGTAACAGACACTAGGTGCCCACGCACCTCTGAAAAATCACACAGGATATTTCACGACTAAAAGATTCGGGACAATGTTTGAAAACTTGGCCATGTACAGTTTGGCCTTGGAAGCAGAAGAGCAAAGAACGCATAGCCAGGATTTCCAAACCTCTGGGCTAGAGAACTACCCCAAGGGTTCTCCCGTTGACAGGGATGCCAATTTTCACCCTGTCTGGTGCAGAGAAGGAAAGCGCAAGTAAGGAAGGCAGGCTCCTGTGTACTAATTCTAAAATCCACTTTTGTAGCGAGCCTTATGCCCCATCACTCAGGGCATCACCAGCGCCACACAGGCGGTCAGTGCTGCGGCACAGCAGGGCCCGGACAGGGCAGGCAGCTGAGGGGGCGGGTGAGGGAAAGAGAAGGCAGGTGCAAGTAGGAAAAGGCAGGAAAAAGCAGGAAAAGGAGGGCAGGAGAAGGCAGGTGCTGGCAGGAAGAGCCAGGTGAGGGCAAATGAAGGCAGGTGGAAGCAGGTGGAGGCAGGAGGAAGCAGATGAAGCTGCAAGCAGCTGGAGGCAGGAGAACGGCGGCAGGTGGAGCCGGACCTCGAAGGGCCCATCCCTCAGCCGGGCTCTGCCGCCCGCCCGGCCAGCGCGGCTCCTGGCTGTGAGCCGGGCGGGTAGGGCTGTGATCCGGGGCTGGCAGGGCTCTGACCCGGGGCTGGCAAGGCTCGCACCCAGCCGGGACCAGCGCCGCTCCCGCCGGCCTGCCCCGGCCCGTCCCCGCTGCCGCGGCCTCACCCGGATGTGGATCCGCCGCCCCCCCGCTCCCCGCGGCCGAGGTCACCTTGATGCCTCCGAGCTGGATTGTCTGTCCCCAGGCTGGGTTGTCTCACCTTGTGTAAACGCAACTGATGGCGTCAGATAACTTCTACAATACGAGTTGCTTAATGAAGGAAACAACCTTGTGTTTGTAGCATTGCGTAAGATTGCATCACCGGATAAATATGCATTAGGTAGGCGGAGAGCGTGGATTAGATAGGCGGGTCCGTGTGAGTTTTGCTTTACAAAAGATTGCGAGTCATTACCACCTGAGCGCGGTTTGTGGGAAGCCTCGCTGTGCGCCCTTTGGAGAATAAACAGAATTTATTCTGTAAACTTTCTGGACTGCTCTGTTTGTGTTTAGGGAGCTCCTAAAGCCGGGAACAGCCCCCGCAGCTCCGGGTGCTGCTGCTCATCCCGGCCGCGCTCGGGGCCGGCCCCGCCGCTCCTGATCCTGCCGGGCAGCTGCTGCAAGCACGGCTGGCATCACGGCTGGAATCGTGCTGGCTGGGATCACGGCTGACATCACCCCCGGCCCTCCATGGAGCCTCTGCCCCTTGCCCCTTGGTTCCCGGTCCGTGTTTGCTCACCCAGCCCGACCACAGGCTCGGTGCGTGGCAGAGCAGCAGCGGTGTCTCTTCATTGTCATCCCAGAATCACAGGATCCTGAGGGTTGGAAGGAACCTCTGGAGATCACTCAGTCCAACCTCTCTGCCAGGAGAGGGTCACGCAGAGCAGGTGACACAGGTGGCTTTGGAATGTCTCCAGAGCGGGAGTATCCACACCCTCCCTGGGCGGCTGTTGCAGTGCTCTGCCATCCTCAATGGAAGTTCTTCCTCTTGTTGAAAATGAAACTTCTCGTGGTTTAGTTTATGGCCTTTGCTCCTCGTACTGTCCGTGGGTACCACTGGAAAGAGTTTGGTCCCTGCTCTTGGTACTCCTTTGAGATATTTACCTGCATTAATGAGGTCCCCTCTCAGTCCTCTCTTCTCCAGAACAAACAGCCCCAGGTCCCGCAGTCTCTCCTCATCGGAGACCTGCTCCACACTCATCATCTTGTGGCCCTTCTCCTTGTGTTTCTTGTGCTGAGAAGCATGGAAATGAATCAGGAACTGGCAGGACAGTGAGGAGATAAGCCTTTGTGCCCTGGGCAGGAGGGGATAAACCTTTGTGCCGTTCTATGAGAGGACATGGCATAATGAGGCCCAAGGAAGGGCAGTCAGCTGAGCTGTGAATGACACATTGTGATGAACTGGGAAAACAACCAGTTAATTTCACTACTGAACCTCTGTTGTGAACAGAACTGTGTCAGTATCTAGTAGAAAGATACTTAATGAGCAGTACATTAAAAGTCATAGAATGAAAAAGATGTAACATTGTGCCACTGCAGCAGTTTCCTGTTCCATACTACATGAAGAAAGATAAGATCACAGAATTACAGATTGGTTTGGCTTGCAAGGACCTTAAAGCTCATCCATTTCCACCCTGCCATGGGCAGGGAAACCTTTCCACTACCCCAGACTGCTCCAAGTCGTGTCCAACCTGGCCTTGGACATTTCCAGGGATGAGGCAGCCACAGCTTCTCTGGGCAACCTGTGCCAGGGCCTCCCAAAAATATTATTAAAAATGAAGAGACATTGTGGTGTAGGTTTTGTGTCCCATTGTACCTGACTGCAATGTTCCTGAAGGAAGTTATAGGACATGATTTTTTGGAAGGGTGAATAGCATACAACTTCATCAGTCTTCTTCTAATACATACCATGGATAAAAAAAGCTTGTGCCTGTGTGCTGAGCACTATAAAATTTGACAGTTTGATAGAAGTTTCTGAAACATTCATACTCAGCAGGCAAAAACAGCAATTAAGGGCTTGTTTTTGTTTTTTGCATTAGTTAATCTTCTACCACAGTGTTATCCCAGCTAAAGACCATTATATCAGTCAGTCTGATGGTAGAATTTCTTCTTGGATGTAGAGGGGAAAAAAGTCTCCCTAAAAACACCTCAATATTCTATATTAATGTTGGTATATTCAATAGTTTTTATAAAGTTTTAGTCAGTAGCTATTTGGTTGGTTTCTGTAATGCTAAAAGTGAATGTTTAGATTCTCAGGACTTCAAGAGGTTCTTTCCAGGGTGGTGTTCAAACCTGCTCTGAGGCCGGGAGTGCCTGCTCCTGTTTTGTCAATAAATTGAAGATTTCGCTTATTTTTACTTTCAAGATATTATTTTCTTTGTACAGCTTAATGTAAATTTGGATTACTGCAGGCAGTAATCCACAAGTATGTTTATCATCAATGTGTTCTTGTATTGCATCTCTGTAGTGTGTTCCTTTTCTGTTTTAGAATTTGATATATTGTTTTTTTGCAGAAGGAATAAGTGTATTCTGGGCAAAAAGCCAGAAAAAGTAGCTCTTACCAAGCCAAATTAGATAATTACAATTTCACTCTGTCTTTAAAGCACAATTGTGTCTTTTGGGTTGTGAAAATTAATATTTAGTACATATAACTTTACACTTTTCTTCTTATCTAAAGAAAAATGTCCCCTCAAAATGAAGACTCCTCTAATTAGCTTTCCTCCATTTTGAAATTAAGTAGAAGCAAATGTATTCCTTGTTACTAATATTTTTATTATTATTTTAATATTATTATTGCTGAGTTTAGTTAATCTTTCTATGACCAATATCAGATTTCTCTTACTCTTCTTTCCATGTCAGAATTTGGTAGATGGGACAAATGAAAGCACTTTTGTTTTGATTTTACACTTGAAGCAGCTGCATTAATTTTGTGTCTTCTATCCTTAATTTATATACCAGGAGCACAAGAGGAAAGTGTCCCTAGTATGCTAGAACTATTCAAAAAAGAATTAAAATATTAAGTTTTTTTGTGAATGATTATATTTAGCTTGTCCAAAAATCCATTTCAAAATCTCTTCCACACAATTTAGGTCTTTGTAACATAGGCCTCTATCTCTGGTTGGGATTTTTTGTTTACTTGTTTATTGGGTTTTTTAAGGCTATCAATTTTGAAATATTGGGGTTTCCTTGTCTTCTGATGTGGTTTTGTTTTGATAATCGTCTTCCTATCTTCCCTACTGATTTGCCACACTGCAGTCCTTGAAATAAGCTGCTTTTGGTGAATCTTATCCAATTCTTACTTCATCTGACCTGTCTCAAGGCACACATAAGCTCACTTTGAAAATCTCCCTGGATAATGCCCCTCATATTTTAGGAGTATTTCTTGTTGTAGCACGCCCTGAGGAAATAGAGCCAAAATTTTATTACTGTCCTGCACTGCATTTTATTGAATACCTCAGTTTGGTCAGACTGTCAGTAAAAAATTGTTGGCATTTTTTTTCAAAGCAGTATTCTCGACAGCCCCTGTATTTTGGGAACCTGAAGAGCGAAGAAGCAAAACGGAAACAAGAAAATCCATTTGTCTCAGCCCCAGACTCATTCCTTGAAGTGGACAATTTATTAATTGCAAATTCAGCAAGTAGAGAGAAAAGCAAGAGGAGGAAACATTGCAAATTATACACTGATTACAGCTTTTAGAAGGAATCAGGAAGAAGAAGCTGTATGGGAGGCTTGTATTTTGGCTTAAGGTTGCAAGTAGTAAATAGCAAAAGGTTGATTGTTTCTATTTTTTAGCTGTACTCAGCTTTAAACTATGTTTCTCTCTAAAGCTTTATGAAATGTAAAAAAAGACCCTTCATAGTACTAAAAAACAGAAGGTCCAGTATAATTGCACCTAAAATAGTTTGAACCAATCTAAGACCAAAAAACGTTTTAATTTGGGCTGAATGTTATTGTTTTGTCTCCTAGAGAGCAAAGTTTATAGAGATTCCTGTCAGTTCTGGAACTTTTTTTTTTTAAATTCATTCAGCCTTACATGGTAACACTGGGTGGTTATAAATAGGTGGATGTTACCCTCCTTCATTTGAGCATTTTTGTGTGGTATGAAGCCAGTCATATTTGTGGGTCTTCCAAAGGAAACAATGTTTGTAATGCTGTTGGACCGGAGGGGTTTTTTTTTTCCAAATCCTAGTAGAGAAATAAGCAAAACTGCTAAACAAGCATGATTTTTAAAGTAGATATGGATTGATTTACCACTGTTGAATGCCATCATTAACCTACAGGGCTGACTTCCATACTGAGGGAAGTTGGTGATAGAACACAACAAAAAGAAGTATTTACTTTTCTTACCCTGAAGCAGATAGAAACAATGGGGCGTGGGACAGTGAGATTCTTTATATGAAAGGTAACCACTATTTTTTTTTCTTTCAAACACAGCCAAACCTTAAGGAATCTAATGTCTTTATGATCCACTGGTGATCAGCAGGGAAGAATGGACCAAGTTCATCTTGTTGCCAAACCACCGTTTCCACAAGAACCAACATCCTCTCTCATTCTTGTGGTCACTATTAGGAGCAATGTCCAGTCAGTGTGAAAGGGCAGGAGAAGAAAATGCTGTATTAACTGTGAAAGTAGCCTTCATGTGTAGGATAATTTCATTTGTTTCAACTTAAATCTCTGATTTTTACTCTACTGAGGTATTCACATACTTCAGACCTCACAATTGGCAATAGAGCAAAAAGTGTATTTGTTGCTAGACCGCAATCCAGTCAAATTCTGCCACCCTTTTCTACCCACTAAAAAACCCACAGTCAAGCGTACTATATTTGTTTGCCTTTTAGGGTTTTATAGGAAAAAACATAGTACAGAAATCATTGTCATTTCCTTTCATAAAATTTACTAAAAGTAGACAGTTAAAACTCTTGCTGTAAACCAAAAACCACTATAGAGTAACTTCTCTACCTACTAAAATCTATTTCTTCTCTTAGATGACAGTAGCAGAACCCAGATGCCACATTCTAAAGTGTTGGTTTTTAGTTTGTTTTGTTGTTTTTTTTTCTTCACCATTTATAGAATCTGTTTATTGGCAGAAATGCCAAGACTTCTGCAGCTTCACCAAGAATCATTCTGGTAACTTGTACTGTACCTGCCGTCTCGAGTCATGCAGTCCTGTCCTTGCAGTCAATTAGTAGTATCTGCCTAACTAACCTTCTCTAATTTATCACAGGTTTTGTGCATCTAAATAAACACTGTACTAGGTGGCTTGGTCTTTTTCTGGGTTGGGTGTTTTTGTTTTAAATATTGGATCCTGCTGTTTTTTAAATCCCATGGAAATACTTTTGAA